GCTTTTGAATGGAATGGATCATCTCTCCTCTGACCCTTAAAGGCTCGAGGCTCACATTTTCCTCGGGACGGGTTCCGCTTTCTTCTTCTTCTGGTAAATGGATGCTGTAATTGTAATCTTTTATCCTGTAATCCTGGTCATTCTGTTATTATGCAACCCTTCTGGTCCTCATTATTCCCCTTGTTTGTTTTAAACGAAACAATTTAATAATAAGGATTATCTCTTTAATTACAAGAGTGCTTAATTGCTCCGTTTATGCTCATTAGAGACCAGCCGACCCTTTGGACTTGCTATTGGCGAGGCATAAATTCTGGGATCCTTCTCGAAAATCTGGGGTAAACTTGATAATTTCGTAATACTTCTCGACCTTGACGCTCTTTTGAAGTACGAGCTAATGAGAAATTTTGGAATTTATGCAGTCGTGGATGAGAGATGTTGGGAGAGACTCCTGCAAGAAGCCCAATTTTAGCATGACCATCAAATCCAGTCCACATCCGCTTCTTTCACTCTGCCCTTCTGAAGTGGTTTATCTCGTGGTAATTTGAAATCGTAAAAGTATTTTATTTCAGGGATGTGAGTCAGGGTGGAGTCGCACTCAGCAGTAAAAATTCCCTCTCCGTTTCCTTCCCTCAGAAGAAGAGCTGGAGTTGGAGTCAGGTATACCACGCCAAGAAAAGCAGTGTCTAAACGCCCAAGTATGCAAACCACCCTCCGCTTCCTAAATACGAGGCCTACGTCTCATCCCTTCTTCTCCCAGCCAAATTTGTCCAAAAATACGTAGTTATGCAGCCAGCAACAACAAATAGTCCAGCAGACTCCTCTTCTTCTTTTAATAATGGAAATAAGATAAAAACTCAACAATTGCAGCAGCCCGACTTGCCATGTTCGTTGGTGGTATTATTATTACTATTTTGGTGCATATATATAATCCGTATTACGTACGTACGTACGTGAATACATTACAACGACTCCATTTTCCTATGATCTCGTCGACTGTGGGAAGAATATGGACCGTCGTCGTCGTCGACTGCACACACATGGATTCTTATTCATGAGAATCTCACTACAATAAAAGCATGCAAGTATTTCATCTGCTGCTGGCTCCTCCGACTCATCCTCGTCGTCGTAAAGAGGCTCATTGCTCAATCATGAGAACTCGTCTAATTTTATTCCGCATATATATTGATTTTAAGATTTGAGCACAACAAACATGAAGAAATGAGTCCTAGAGGAAAACTAAATGAAGGGAAGTGACGGAAACTATTTATTATTGTGTTAGAGCCACTGCCTTGCCTTCATGCACAGCCAGTGACGACAGGAATATAATGAAACGAGACAAATTGTTAGAATTGCTGTACAACATAGTTTCGGTTGTCTTGTTTTTTTTCCTCGTTTATTTATGTCTCTGTTTGTTTGCCTAATTTACTGTAACGTGAGAATTTTCACGTGAGACGAGCACAGATCAGGACGTATACAGAAATACGTGAACGCCTCGCTCTTTAAAGGACGAGCTCCTCACCTGCCAAGAAACAAAAGGAGAGGAGCGATGATGACGAGGGGATGAAGATGTTAACCTAAACCAGATTTCCTCTCTGTCACAACAAAACACACCAAGAGCACAAAGGGCCCTGCCCAACCCACGCTTTTCAAAGTGAAAGAATTTTAAAGAGTCGGAATTAAGCCGTGGATCCATCCTGATTGTTTCTCCTCGGGGCTTTTGTCCACTTTTGGGGTTGAAGAGGAAGGAATCGTGTAAACGTGCCTGCCTTGTGTCACCAAAAACCAAGGGATTCAATGCAGAGGATTTAAATAATTCCAATTTCCCCCAAGTTCAAAAAAGTATACAAAAGAAAGCTGCGCGTTCATAGCCCTCGAAATTACCACATCATGGGATCCGTATAGCAGTAGTATTTAGGAAGAAAACAGCAGAACTTAACCCGATGCATACATACACCGCAGAAGAATGGACAGGTTTTTTTTTCAACGGTGGAGATGTTCAAATAAAAAATGTAAGGAAACTCATAAAAATTTATGAGATCATCATGAATACATGTTGTACAGTGGTCAAAGTCATTGCAAAGTGTGTAATGATTTCGTTGGTTACTTTTTGGTCCAGTTAAATGTTAAATATTTGCAGAAAACCACAGGCTGAAACCAAAGGCAGTGCTGACGGAGGCCAAGTAACCAACCGAACAAGCATGTACGGTGCAACAAATTACGATATTTTGAATGTGAACAGGGCAAATCATGTCATCATAAAGAACAAACAAATGATGCCGTTAAAATCAACTGGTTATTACTCTCGGCCTGTCCGTATCTGTATCATGGACTCGACTCCTGGGTGGAGAGCTTAACGGGCCAATTTTACTAATATTCATGATTTTACGACTTTTACGAAAAACACTGTTTCAAATAACAAGTAGTAACCAAACGACTGTGTGGAACTAGCTGTAGATGGATAGATATCCATCCATACGTATGAATTATTATGGGGAATGATTGGTTTTTCAAAATAAATCCCTAGAAAAATTCGGTTGCATACAATTCAAAGTGCCAATCATGCCTTAATAAATCTGTGCTGTAAGTCAATCAATCACATTATGAGGGAATTATTATGGTGGATGAGAAGTGGCAGTGGCTGTGTTGCCTCCATCCGTGAATTGAGAGGAATTGAGTGAAATTGACTCTGGCGATCAGAGGATTGACGTATCGGATTCCATTAGGACGGGGGAGACGCATAACGAGAGGAAAACTTTATACGGGATAAAGAAATCAATCAGTGGAGCAGCAGAAGCACAGCAAAGATCAATCACGGGCCATGCCAGGTACACAGGAAATATTGATTCCTACAAGTCAATCAATTTTTCCTCCTTATTATCTCAATCTTATGCAATCCAATCATTATTGTGGGGCTTATGTAACCCTCGGTCTCAAGTCTAAACAATGTGACCTGCTTTTTTCATCCAATCGTGTTTATTGATTCACGTCCTGTGATAGCAAAAATTGCAAATTTCCCACAATCATGTCAACTGCATCATCTCTCGACTCGATCCTCTCTGTCAACCAACTCGCCTGTTGAATGGTCTTTTTTCATCCGGACGAGTTTGCACTCTTATTATTCTTGCGGAATCAACCACCAGATTCATTTCTAAATGCAAGCACATGCAGTTTTGCCCTTGCTCTCCTGACCCCGACGACCTCTTAACTGTTATGAGTCATTAAATCAGTACAGAGCTAAGCCATTCAGCAGTGAACTATGTAATTGTAATTGTGGAGCATGGATCACCATTAAGATTTCTACTCGAGCCGTTGGAACGACCGCATCAAGAGCACTTATTAGCTTCATCAATGCAGCCTTATAATTCCTTCGTACGTGACTTTTACATTTTACCAAGAAATCCTGCCTGGTGGTCATTAAAAACTTACATGCACATACGTATCTACTTTATTATGAGTATCGTCCCGTTAAGAGGAGCGCATTACAGATATAAATTGTATGTACGACGTCTGATAATGATGGTACGACGAGTTAAGAAAAAAAGAGTATCGACCAACTGATTGATGTCACTTATTTCAAAAACCTACGAGGACCACTCGATTGAGAGACGTGTGGGCCCGATTGTGGTTAAAATTATTGCAAAATAGTCGATACACAAACAATGTAGTAGCGGTTGCGTAGGTAGCAAAAGACTAACTCGTGAACAAATCTGAATCTCAATTGTGACTTGAGAGAAGAGTGACAATTTATTGACACCATTAAATCAGTCGGCAAAGAGGCTCATTAATTACGAGGGTGGCTTTATTTATTATTGGATGAATTTGGATTGGATGGAGAGTTGCAGTGCCTTTTTACTCATGTAATGGCCCCATGTATGTACAGGGACATGCCAATACATGTGCTTCGTATTAATGATTGATTAGTTATTAGCTATAAGGAGGCCTCTATCAAGTCTTTATTAAATTAGCAACACGGTTGGATGGCCATCATCATCGTAACGATAATAACAAAATCCTATGGCTCCAACCAAACGAATGACAATCAGTCTTCTGACTTTTGACTTGATTTGTGGTGGACAATTATCGTAAGGTTCTCTCCTTACGATCAGTTTCTTTACTGTGCAATGCAACAATTGGTGTTATGCAATCCCACAGATTTTCATTTCCTTTCGACCAAAAGTAACAACATAAGAATCCAATTAGTATTTGAGTAGTAAAAAAACGCTTGACTTACTTTACGCGTCATCAACTACATGCATATCCATCCACTGCGTCAATTACTTTTCTGCATATGATTATTTATTCAAAGCCTGGAGTGTTTAGTTTATTGGGAGGAATACCTATTTTTGGAGGTGCCGCAGTCAATAGTCCTTCACGTTTCATAATTTCGGAACAAACTAATCTCGTAAAAGAGGGACACATTATCTCGCAATGTTTTGAGTCCAAATCCTCCTAAGCCAGGAGGACTCGGAAGATAACATCGTGCCCTGCCGACTGACAAGGAAACGACATGATTAACTAAATGCCAGCTCTCTGTGGCTAATTCCCAATTAGGACTTGAAGAGAGTGAATGTCTCTCTGGCTTGGATTTTGGAGTGGCCGCATAGATCTTAAATAGCCAGCAGATCTCTCAAATCCCAAGTCTATGTCTTGGTGTTAAATAAATTTGAGCAGAGTGGAGATTAAATCAGGGTGAAACGACGACTGACCACCAAGTGAACAATTGTAATTTGTAAATGATGGATGTCTTTCTGAGTGAATGGTGACGACGGACTTGTTGCCATTTTGGAGAGACGCTATATTGTTTCGCTTCGAATCAGATTACCCATTATTTTATTTGTTTAGTTCCTCCTTCACTACGTGCAATCAGAAGACCCAACCCGTCGCGTAATTTTCGTGCTTGATTTATAATGAAATTTATGCATTTTCTAAAACTTTATGGTGATTCGATTGCATAATGAATACATAATGGTGAACAAGTTTATTAAAGAGGTTGCACTTACCAGATTCTTTTTCGGATCCGATTAAAAAACATGGTGGGTTTAGTAATTTTGCTTCCACCGACGACCAGTTCTGACTTCTGTGCTGACGTTGTTATTGCGCTAGCAGACTGAACAATTGGAGAAAAATGTTGTTGAAATCATTTCATGGGTTGGGTTGTCACAATTGAAGCATTCCGAATATAATAAATAATTCACTTCTTCACGAAACTATCATTGTAAAATTCAGTCGAAATCTGCACTAGAAGAACCACATTTTTTTCATCGTATTTATTTTCCTGTCGTCTTCTTCGTCTTGTCGGTTTATCTCCTACACTAATAAAACGTAGATAATGTGAATGTGTTTTTAAGGAATTGTTTCAAAAGTTAAGAGAGTCAGAAGGAGAGGAAGAATCGCTAAAAAGAATTATCGCATATCTCTTCTTGAGCGAAGAACAACTGAAACTACTGATTTGAAGATTTTGTCCAAAATCAAGCAAGATTTTTTAAACCATCGTAAAATCTGTCAAATTCCACCCGTCAAAGTTTCAATCATCCCAAACATCGCATCGTCCTCCGAGATGTCAAGTATGTTGGAAAAATGTTGGATTAAATAGTTGGATTTTTATTTCCTTTCCTTCAACCAAGACATTTTTTAATCAATCAAAAACCCCGTCCCACGACTCTTTTTTTTTGCTCCGTGTGTGCATTTTGATGCTGTTTTATTTCTCAAATTAATTGCAGAGACCCGTTCGTTCCGTTGTTTTAAGAGAACACAAGAGATGAACTAAAATGGAAACTGCTCTCCAGGGAGTCCTTCTCTCGTGGCTGGCCTGTCCACCTCCACCCCTTTTTATCCACCTGAATTCTGCACTGATTTCGATCCGTACGGCACAGCTAAATCCGTATTTTCCCTAATTCCAACAACTTATTAAATCCACCCAGTTTGAGAATTTACGGGTGGTATTAAAAAAAGTCCAATTTTTCTCGTCTTCTTCTCGCTTAAAGCATAAAAACTTCAAAATTAAGTTATCCTGGCAACCTGGCACACTTTGCTCGCTCCCTTTTTTAGGTATAAATGGAAAACTGTCGACGATATTAAAAAATATTTTTAATGTAACCCAAATTCTTGTTGATTTTCAAGTTTGCATCACATTATCACAAATTACTCTTGAAGGCTGTGATGACCATTTACATAGTTTAATAAGAGGAGGAGGAGGAGGAGGAATCAAAGTCAAATGCCATCCTCGTCATTCATCCCACGACAGCAAAACTCATCATCAAGAAGAAGAAGAAGACTTGGTTAGTTTTAGCAGTTTAATTTCAATAATATAACGATTATCCGGCATGGCTCAGTTGTTAGCCTAATTGTTTGTATTCTTAGCAGGGCACACCTTCTTCGGTCAAGTTTAATCGTGTCATTTGATTTTATTTATTTCGTGGCGTCGTCCTTTACTACATTGAGTGCGATCGCTTGTTATCGCTGGCTCTGACACACACTCAAGGAGATATTTACATACGCGGCAGCGTAAAAGTCCTCTTGGAAAAAACATTGAGGTTTATTATACACAAATTTGTCCCTTGTTTGGATTTGTGATAGAGAAATGTCTTTCTTCATCCACTTATACTCATTTTATTAAACCGTATCAAGTTAAATGGTGGTAGTTGCATAAAAATTACTTTAGCAATCTCAAATTCCTCATGTTTGTCAATTTCTTTTATCAAAAAGTTGGCAAATAAACTGCCGTAATTTGACGACGCGTTCCTTCTTATTCACGTGCATACATAACCTTGATTTAGCACTACAAATTACTATTGTTTATTATCGTGTGTGTGTGGAGTAGTGGGAGTACAAGCCTGAAAAGTAGGCCTCACTCCTCGCTATAATCCCGTCAAAAACGGTTAGCTTCCTCTGAATAATGATAGCGTTTTACAACCCTTCCAGAGACGACGACTTGTTTCATAACACGGCACGCAAGTGTGCAGTTATTGCACCGCATCCTTCCCCCAGCACGAGTTGAAAAGTTATTCCGTAAAAATGAGTCACAAATTTCTCACATTTTTTGACACAAATCACGAAAAGATTCAATCTCATTTAAATTAAATCACTCAATGTTTTTGTCACTTCCGTTGGGATAAGTGGATTAAAAAAACGACACACGACACACAGAAGCAACAAGTCAGCCCAAGAGCACAAAGATAATTAAGTTAACTGATTATCGGGAGTTATGAAGAATTGTGTCGAATCCATGAAAAAAGTGAGACTGCTCCAGCAGCCGAGGAGGACGTGACGAAGGTGTGCTGATGAGACTTTTGAAGGGGAGGAAGAAGACAGGGCGACAATGACGCTTTCCCGTCCAAGGTAAGAAGCTGACTGTGGAGGTGCTCGTGGTGAGAGCAAGTTATCCAAGGAAGAAAAGAATGAGTAATGTGGAGTGGACTCACCTGAGCGTAAAGTAAAAAGTGAAGCAATGCAAGCAATGCAATGCACCAACGATGAAATGCAATCCATTTGGCTCAAGCACAAGTAGGCAACTTCAACTACCTGCCTGCCTGCGTACTTATGTTCTACGTTTGTGTGGCATAGCTCGTTGCATCCTCAGCCTTCTTATTACATTCGATGAGGAGCAACCATTATAATGCTGCTAAGAAATTTAAAAAAAACTATACGCCACTTAACGAGAAATTTTCAAAAACTATTCCCCCAGTTAAGACACTACTCTTCGCAGTGGTTCCAATTTTGATAAAATTTTGAAGCAACTTTTGATGTGAGACTGCTTCGATTTAAGCAATGAGAGATTGGAATTGGTGAATAAAGAAATGACTGAATGCTCTTCTCCATAAAAAAGTCCGAGGATCTCAGTCCTATCTTACAGGTTGGATCATCCGTGGATGGAAAGAAACCCTGCAGCCTCCTCAACGGCAGTCTCCCAGGCATGGGAACAAGTGGAGTTGCATTCAGCTCTACTTTACATCGTGGCTTTAAAGCAACTTTTTAGGGCAATGAGTGAAGCACTGAAATACTACGGAATATGCACGTACAAGGCCCTGCAGAAGTGGTAGATAGGCACACGGGTCAAGTGAGTAAGTAATCTTGGCCGAGATTTTGAGTGGCCTGGACGAATGGTGTAATAATGGCAGTAAAATATTGAAAAGTTGGAGTTTAAAAAAGTAAATTGCATACTATTCAACGCTACGTATGCCTTATACTCTCGAGCTTGTGGAGTTGTGATGATGATAATGATAGCGATGATATGAGGGCATCTTTTTGTTGACGAATGGAACGGCTGGCTCCATGTCTCGTACTTAATTAAGATGTATCAACTACTCGGCAGAGATTTCTCCTTCAAGGGTTGCAAACTACGTGCACCTTCTGCTTTTAGGAGGGTTCGAGAAGGTGAAAAAAAGGTCAATTTTTTGCGAGTATGAGTACTTTGAGCTACCGGATTTTGCGATATGTACACACATATCTGTGAACTACTGTAGACAGCATTGTTACAAATTATAATTGAAGCTGTAAATTATAATTTCAATTATAATTACCCATTGACACCATATTTTCCTTAAAGTGGTTAAAAATAGAGGCGATTTCATTCATGGGAACGGGATTATTGGGTCGTTTCATTCGCCACTGTCTGTGGCAATAAGACTGGACAAAATCATTAATCAAGCAAAGGAGGATTGCTTACTAAATCCTTCGTGAATATCGGTGCGAGCGTCGAAAGTCACGCTCGCAGCCTCACCACACACACGGCATTCTTCTTGCCACAATCAGAACTCACCTTTCCAACGGGTGAGCCATTCCCAGTGGTAATTGTGTCACCGCGTTAAATTGAGTTGATTAATAGCGATTTATATTTGCTCGCGTCGAAATGAAATCCATCAGCAGCACTGCCACAACCGGTACGTGGCTTCCCTTTCCTCTCCTTATTCCAAGTACAGCTAGTCACATTCCCACGAGTCCTCTCCTTAGGGTGAACTCTTAGCTCTAAAAACCTCGCTATGTGGCTGATAAGCCTCTTCTCAAGTAGTCTTATTTTACACCATTTCATTGTTACTCAACCATTAGCGAACTCTTCATTATCAGTTTTGTCGTCATTCAGATTTGTACATTCGTGATGCCTAAATCATAAACAAAGATTGAGAAAAAAACGTGCAAAAATGGCAAAATTTCAGGTCACCAAAAATCCGGCAAGTTGAGTTTGAGAGGATTTTGTTAAAAACCTTGGGGAGGATAATGTGGACATATGATCCTAAATACGAGCATGACCGATTGCTTGGTGCACTTAGTTTTCAGAGATAATTAGCAAGACCCTGCCTACGCAAAGGGTTATGATTCTCTCTCTCTTGAGGTGCATCACAAGGTGAGAAGAAGTGTGAGATATTGGCTCACACAGTTTATTTACCTGGTTTGCCATAATCACCAGAAAGACGTAAAGTTTTGAGCCGAGTGGTGTGTGGCGTGGGTGGGTGGGTGGTTTCCTCTCACCTCACTGTGTAGCAGGACATCCATAATAAAACCACAAGTTTGCGCATGTTTGCATTATTCCAATTCCACCACAACTTGCTTGATTAATATTTCTTGGTCGTCATCTTATCAATATTGATTGGAATGCGAGTGCAGTGATGAGCATACCGTATGTTACATATGTATGTACGTATGGTGAAGCGATTGGATAATTGGTCTTTGGTGGTAATTGTTGTGGAAGAAGAAAAGGTGAAAATTATCATTTCCTAATCATACAACCCACGCGTCGTTGGCGTCTCGTCGTGTAAAGTCATCAATAATATGCGAAACAAATTGTGCAGAGATAAATAAGCAACCCTTGTCCTCCTGCGAGCTAATGAGCACACTGGGTGCACACGGAATTTGAGGAATGTCCACTGAAAAAAATTTAGTACTATTCGTCGTTAAGAATCTATTTCTTGGTCACAATAATAAAGTTTTACAAACGTGGCTAATTTCGATGTTCTAGTTTACATGCGTCGTCTACTAGTCACACATTGACGGCACTGTAATAACCACAATAATGCCTCGTAAAATGTGAAATGTGGAGAAGAGCAAACTAAGCAAAATGTCAATAAGCAAGTTTCAAGAAAGCGAGGAAGAGAAAAAGTGGCCAAGAAAATAATACCAACTTTGACTTTTATTTCCTTTGGTATTGTCACGTTTTCCTTGTTCTCGCCTCCGTGCGGCCGGAAGTTTGTAGGGTTGGGGGCATTTAAATAAAGAAAATGCAGAGGGATGACAGGCAGAAAGAGAGAAATCTATTGTGTCTCTTATTTTTGAGCATTGTGATGATAATGGGAATAATGAGAATTTTATTAGTTTTCCACGCAGACCGGAGGTATGTATGCAGTGCTTGCTGCTTGGTCCTTCTTCCTCGCTTGCACTGCACACCGTTAAAAATCAAGTCCAAGGTCGACAATTCTTTGAGGACAATACTTTTTCAAATTCTTCCATTTGCGGTGGTCGTCGCACAGGCAAAGCAATAATTTCAAGAAATGCGTGAAAATGCGATGCCTTATTTTTTCTGGTGTATCTTTCTTTCTTTCCTCGCCATTTTTGCCCTTGTCGAGAAACCCGTTTGCAAATCAAATCATCACGAATAATCATCACCGATAATCATAAAACAAAACCTGATTGTTCCACATTTTCCCAGGATGGATGAATCGCAGGACGACGTACGTACGTACATAATAGTACATATTGTATTTCAGAAAACTTGCGCATTTTACGTAGATTAGTGTGATATCGTTTTGTTCACATGCAGCACAATACGTACGCAGCACATGGGTCACTCACTGCAGTTAGTAAATCCACTCTAAGTGGTTTCAAAACCATATCTTCACATTTGTATTATTTGATTAATTAATCGTCAAGTTGGACATGGTTACGTACGAATGCATAATGACTGAATAATCCCATTTTTGCGTGCACACGGCACACCTTAACATTTTTATGTAACCAACAAGTTGACCATGCAGACTTATCCTGGTTTTAATTAAGATGAAGAAAGATCTTCATCTCAATTAAGTTCATATCCAAATTAAGAGATTTATTGCCATTTAAAGACCAATTTGTATTTGCAAATTTCTAGTTTATTAGCAAATAAGATTGTCTCCAGTTGGCAATTAGAAATTAGTTAAGTAACTAGCTAATTAAACATAAATACATTTATGATTAATCCATTTCAATACTCATAACATACGGGATAGCCGGTACAGGTCTCAACTTGTGCTTAATCATATTGAGCACGCTACTTCATTTACCTTGAAATGGTTTTTAATCTAGAAATACGAAAAAATAATTACTCAATTATTTGTAAACATTACTTGGTCTGCAATTATGGAGCAAAGGAGCGGTGTAATGATCTCATTGTCAGTTCTTAATTCCACAGGCGGACTTTGACATGAGTATTACAGGGGTGAACGAAATCATTAAATTATACTCTTACAAGCGCCAGAGCTGTGTTACATACTTGTAGAAATTGCTCTACAGCAGAAATTGTGT